GAGAAGAGGGCAGGGAATGGGGGGAAGGGAAAGGGAAGGGAAAGGGAAGGGAAAGGGAATGGAAAGGGAAAGGGAAGGGAAAGGGAAGGGGAATGAGTGGGGGAGAGGAGAAGGGGGAGGGAGGCAGGGGAGGGAAGGAAGGGGGAAGGGGAGAGGGATGGAGGGGATGGAGGGTGCAGGGGGGGGGACCGCCAGCAATGCCAAGACGCCCACGGGGGGGTGGGGGGTCAGAGTAGGCAGGGGAGGGATTGGCACTTTGCCCCTGGGACCCTCCTCCTCCTCCTGCTGGATGGATGCAGCCTTCACCTTGCGTTTCGCCCGTCTGTGATCATCGACCAGCATCGGGTTCCAGCCCAGAGCTTGCACAAATAATGGGGGAGGGCGACCGAGGGGAAGGAATGGGCGGGGGAAGGGGGAGGAGTGAAAATAGACAGACGGACCGAGGAGCCAAACGCCGTCCAGCGCACAAGCACAAGCGCCGCGTGAAAAAACTCACGGAACATGGCAGAAAGCTTCGCTTGCTGCTGACACGGACGCGCTGCAAGAGTGAGGGGGGCGGGGCAAGGCGGAGGAGAAGGAGGAGGAGGAGAAAGAGGATGAGGACGAGGATAACGACAACGAGAGTGCGAGAGGGGGAAGGAAGGAGTGGGGATGGGGTGGACAGGGGGGTAAGTGCGCGGAGGCGGCGGCAGCCTCGAATGACGCTGAGTGCCGTCGTGAGCGCAGCCCGCGAGCGTCAGAACCCTCTCGAGCATCGTTTCACCGATCCCCATCCCCACTGGCATGGCCTTGGGCCGTCTGGACGATGCACCCCCCCAGATGGTGATTCCCTTCGGCCGTCCAGGGTCCGGGGGGGGGGACGGTGGGGCTGAATCTACTACGGCCCGGCGGGGATAGGGGGTAGGTTAGTCGGTACTGGCCCCTGGCCCAGAACAGGAGTCACGTGCGGGAGCGGCAGGCCGCAACGGGCAGCTGAGCGCAGGTGCCGCGGACCACACTGTCGGGCAAGCGCAAGGAGCCGCAAAACTGACGAGTTGCTTCCTCCTCGTATGTGGGCCTGATGGTGAAACCTGCCAGCTCTCTACCTGATGGGAAGGGGACTCCACCGTGCCAGAGCAGGCTGAATATGAGGGGGAGGAGGGAAAGAGGGACAGAGACAGAGAGAGAGAGAGAGAGGGAGACAGAAAGCGAGAGGGAGAGAGAGAGAGAGACAGAGAGGAAGAGGGGGAGGAACGAGCAGCATGATGCCTCATGCGGCCGACTGGCGGCCGGCACGAGACCCGGAGCTGCACGAGCACAGCCGGACGCGCTCGTGCAGGAGCGGGCCACCACGAGCTCCGCAGGTCGCTCGGCAGGGCGGGGCAGGAGCCCGAGGCTCGCCACTCGGCTGGGCGCGGCGTGGAGCCGGAAAGCTGACAGATGTCCAGCCACGGCCCCTCGGCCTGGAAGCAGCCCGCGGCAGCGGCAGAGCCTTCGGCCGCTTCGTCGCGCGGGCCGCGAGCTAGGCGATGCCAGGCTTGCGCGGCCCCCGGGATCCGCGGCGGAGCAGCATGCCAGAACCAGGCATGCCCGAGAAGAGCCGTCGGCCGCTGTCCGCCGCCCGCCCTGTCGGGAGGGCCAACGGCATTGATGAGCCGCTCCGTCGGTCCAGCAGCATCCTCTCCGACATGAAGCGGTCACCTGACAAGCAATGCACTAGCATGATGTTCTTGGGAGAGAGAAAAGAGCGGGATCTCGGCGATGCAGGCGTGGAGCCACAACATTAATGCCATGCTCCGGTGGTGCCTTCTCGGCATCAGCGTCGGCATCCTCGAGCCGCGGTGGAGGGAGCATTCGCCACCGCGGCCTCTTACATTGACGAGCGCACGAGCGGAGGCCGCGTGTGATCCCAAACGAGGGGGGCCCACGCCGTCCTTGAGGAAGCGGTTCGCCGAGACTCCCGCGGCCGCCTCAAGCCACAATCGCCGAGAGGCTCGCTGGACCGAGGCGGCCTTCCTGGCCATCTGGGCCCCCGAAAGCGCAAGCCTCTTCGGCCATCGGTGCCAAGCAAAGCGAGGCTCGGAAGCTCCGCCACCGCCGCATCTGGAGGATCGCGAGCGCCGCATCTGGAGGTCCACGGCATCGGCTGAAGGCGGCACTTCGATACCTTGGCAGTGGACACGTGGCGCGCGCGCGCCTGTCAGCTGGAGGCCAGCAGGCCCCTCAGGGGCTGCGAGGGTGGACCAGAGTCCGTTCGGATGTGCGCGCACTTGGCTAACTGAGTATGCTTCCAAACTGCTCCATAGTTTGTGACCGGCGGCCGTTTCCAATCAACTGCTGCTGGTGTCCCCTAGCGGTACACTGCGTCAACTGTGTGGGGTCGTCGCGACAAGCTGTGCTCCGTGATTGCGCAATGCCGCTCTGGTGTCGCGAACACAAGGCTCCCATACTGCAACGAGTCTGGTCTATCTGAAACGGGATTGGGTGACTATGCGCCCTGCCCATCGCCATTTTCCGGCTGTTGTATAGTACCGTCATCATCGGGCTGCCGCGCGGCGGCAGGGAATGCGGCCAGCGGCGGCGCGGCGCTCGGATGAGAGCTGCTGGCGCGGGCGAAGGCACCTCCGGCGCCTGGGAGTTCGGCGGCACTAGCAGCCCAAGGACCAAGGCGTTGTGGGTGCCAAGGGCATGCTGCGCTCGCGTCGCGCTGGCAACTATTGTCGTTGGTCACGCCTGCGAAGCCTCCGAAGCATGGCGGCGCACGGAGGATGCTGGCGATGTTATTAGGTGCGCGCTCCAAGACATGGCGCGCCTGAGCCTCGTCGACGGACGGCTGCGCTCAGGGTCTGTCGCGGGGTATCGGTGACCGCGCGGCTGGAGCAGCGCCACGCCCATGAGTTGGCCGGCCGTGGCGCCGTCCACTCGGAGCAACCAGCTGCAACCTTCCCATGACATAGCAGCACCACCGCTGCATGCGCTCGGAATCGCAGTGTGAGGAGCCTCGAGAGCAACGCGTCGGTGGTCTCTATGAGCCGCCTCGAGAACTCGAAGAGCTCCCGTGCAACTTACAGGCGTGACTCTTCGCCAAATGGTCCGAACTGACTTGCGAGGTTCGCGATGAGGTAGGTGACGGCGTCTTCGGGGTGGCCGTTAACCAAACCTCCTTCGGTCATCTCCGTGAAGTTCATGGATCGCGTGAGTTCGCGAGCAGTGCCACGACGGTTCCGGATGACGGCTGCGCGCTGCTGAGCGCAGTCCATGTCTGTACCGAATACGCTCCATTCGAGCGAATCTGGTACCCAGTGGCGAAACGGGTAGGCGAACTCGCGTTCAGGCGAGGAGGCAGGTGGCTGACGCATGTTGCCTCCCCTGCCGCCGCCTCCACCTTGCTGTCCAGCTCCTCAGGCATCATGCAGACGATCCAGAGCAAGGCGATCATGGAAGGGATGGGAAAACTGCCCAGTAGTGCCAAATAGGAGATCCTTCTGTGGACGAGGCCATGGTTGTTGCCGTGCAGGCGCCTTGGGACTCGGACCTGCACGTGGACGAAAGTCATCTCAACACTTGGGGCAGTCGTTACAATACTGGAACTCTTGATGATGCTCCTCGGAGTGCGCAGCGTGCTCACGAAGATGAAAGTCGGCACCGTTGCGGCCAATCCGAACCAGATCGCTGGCCCAGTAGTGCCGCGTAGCGCAGGAGTTTGCGCCCCACTTCCAATGCCGGGAAGCTGTTATGGTGAGGGGGGCGCGGCATCGAAGCCACCCTGGGTTGGGTTACCCCTGCACTGGGCGATCTGTCCCCCAAGAGACGATGCAGTCGCAGGGTCAGTGGTGGTCGTCGCATTGGCCTCGTCGCGCCTGTGGGTGCAGTGGGCGAATGTCCGTGAGGATTGCAGAACAGCCATAAGCACAAGCTCTTGCACTCTGCCTTCTCAGCAGGAAAACTGTCGCGCCGGAGCTTGACCCCAGACGACAACCAGGCATCCGATTCGAGTGAGGAGGGTCACCACCACCTAATTGATCTTGGCTTCGTTTTTAAGCCTTGTGCGTCGCGTTTCATCTGGAGGCAGACGTTCCGTAGCTTGAAGGAGCTTGAAGGACGAGAAGGAAGAGGAGGAGCAGGGAAACGGCGGCGGACGGTGCCTCGGACGCGATGGTCGTGGTCAGTAAGCGCTTGCTGACTGGGAGCTCGCGATAGACATGAGAAGACTGCCTCCTGGTCGGGGAAGAGGGTTGGCGGGGGGAGACCCCGCCCGACAGGAACGGAAGCCCTGGAAAGCCCTGTGGGTTGTGCTAGCAGTGGGAAACCATGCGCCACGCTACAGGAGGGTACAAGGAGCTGAGCCGCACTGGCCCCTGCTCTCTGACAGGTCGCACCGACCACCCAGAATTCGTAGAGATAACGCCATAGAAACTGTGTCCGCTCCTCTGCCCTGCCACGCAAAGCGCTTGACAAATCATAGGCACACGCCCGACGGGAAAGGAACGCGGACCGCACTCGCCCTGCCAGCCACAACTCCCAGCGAGGGGGCGGCGAGCGGGGGATTGGGCCAGGGGACCGCGAGCTGGGGGGAATCCCAGCAAGGTGGGGGGCCTGGTCGCCACACCCTCATGGAGGAGAGAGGAGGGACGAAGAGACCTGAGGAGGAGGAGGATAAGGTGGAGGAGGAGGATAAGGAGGAGGAGGAGGAGGAGGAGGAGGAGGAGGAGGAGGAGGAACCAGGAGGAGGGATGAGGAACGAGGAGGAAAAGGAGGAGGAGGAGGGACGAGGAGGAGCGAGGAGCGAGGAACAAAGAGGAGGAGCGAAGAGAGGGGAGGAGGAAGGTAGGAGGGAGAAAGGACGAGCGAGGATGAACGAGGAGGGAGGGAGGAGGAGGAGGAGGAGGAGGAGCGAGGGAGGAGGAGCGAGGGAGGAGGAGCGAGGAAGGAGGAGCGAGGACGGAGCAGCGAGGAGGAGCGAGGGAGGAGGAGCGAGGAAGGAGGAGCGAGGAGGAGGAGGAGGCGAAGGGCCTCGGCCGTCATGCCCTCGCGCTCGTGCTCGGAGGCGCTCTCTCGCTTGGCCGCCTGCCCCCCGACCCCGCTGTCGGCGCGACAGCGCTACGCGAGGGCGCGTCCCGCCGCCGCTCCGTCGGCGCCCCCCCCGCTCCTCGTGGCCCCCCCTCGGCGCGGAGCAACCCTGGTGCCGCGCGGAGGAAGTCCACCCTCCGACCTCCACCTCGAGGCGGAGATCCATCCTCCTCCCTCCTCCTTCCTTCCTCCTCCCTCCTGCTCTCCTGCTCTCTATGCTCCTCCCTGCCCCCCCCTCACCCTCCCTCCTCCCCTCTCCTGCACACTCCCCGCTTCCCGCCGCTTGGGCGGCGCTCGACCGCTCGTCCAGCTTGCGGCCACCGTGCTGCCACGAGGAAGAGGAGGAGGAGGAGGCGGAGGAGGAGGGCCTTGATAAGTTCTGGGCGTTGCCATGTTTGTGCACCCCGCGTTGTCGCCCGCTTTCGGGCCCTGGGTCTCGATCCAGCTGGGGCCTGGGGCTCTGGCCGTGATTGTTTGCGGTGTTGCAATGTTTTGGGCGATGTTTGGCAACGTCGGATCTCAGGGCGTGAGCAGGAGGAGGGAGGGGGAGGGAGGAGGGAGGAGGAGGAGGAAGAGGAGGAGGAGGAGGAGGAGGAGGAGGAGGAGGAGGAGGAGGCTTACAGTCATCGTAACGACATGAGGAGCGCTGCAAAACAAGGGACGACGGTTCGAGGGAGGTTCGAAGATGTTTACAGAACTTCCTGGCGGCTTTCTCGCCTCAGGATGCTTTCCAACAGCTGCGCTTTGTAGGGCGTTCGTGGTGCCTGGATCGTCCCAAACGGCCACCCGAGGGCCGATCGAGATATGATCCGAAAGCCCACCCCCAGGATCGTCGAAAAACGGCTCGGGCTGAACAGCCAGGATCCAGACCTCCAGGGGTCCACGTTGGGAAACAAAAACACTACCCTTGAGTTCTGGGGGTGAGAAACGGAAGTAGGGGGGCACATGCGGCCCCCCTAGGAAGTTCGAGGATCGGCGTTCGAGGACCTCGCACGTCGTTCCTCCCTTGTGTGGGAGGCTCCCCGTCGCCACGGCTGGATCCGCTCAGAAGTCCCGGCAATAGCGCGCCCCAGCAGAGCTCCCCGGGCCGAGTCCTGCGGGGAGCAGGAGGAGGAGGAGGAGGAGGAAGAGGAGGAGGAAGAGGAGGAGGAGGAGGAGGAGACGGAGGAGGAGGCGGAGGAGGAGGCGGAGGAGGCGGAGGAGGAGGAGGAGGAGGGCGACAAGAAGGAGGACGAGGAGGGCGACAAGGAGGAGGACGAGGAGAAGGACAAGGACGGGTGAGGCCGAGAATGAGGAGCCCTGACGTTCAATCTGGGAGGAACGGTCCCAGACGCATGGCGCAATCATCGTGCTGTCACATGAAATGAGAATTTCTGGCCACGGCGAGCCTCGGCTACGCACAGGTTCTTCGACCCAGACCTAAGGATCGGCCACAAAGTGACCCTTATGTCAGCGTCTTGACTGTATAAGGCTTCGAAAGCTGCGAACACTGCGAAATCGGTGTGAAAATGGCGGGCCCCATTGGAGAAGGGTCATGGAGTCTTTTCGTCGTTTTCGGGCCCCTGGCGCCTTCCACGTGTCCTGGGACCGTCAAGTACAGACTCGGGATGAAGAGCTGGCCCTCCCCCGATGTGCACGGCTCCACCCCCCTGAACGCACATCACGCAATGAGGTCCTTGGGCCACGCCAGCCAGGACACCACCAGTGCAATGGGAAGGGATCCGTGGAGGGGGCCGAACGCCAGGCATGGCGCGCGAACCCAGCTCTGCTACTGTCTCTCTTCTCTCTCTCTCTCTCTCGCTCCGCTTTGTGTATGTATGGATTGTTCTCTCTCTCTCTCTCCCCCTTGTTCTCTCTCTCCTTCTTCTTCTCTACTACCCAGCATGGGTTTGTTAGCCAGCGTGGACCCCAAACAGCGCGTGTGTGTGAGTAACGACTTACTTGGAGCAGAAGAGGTGAAGCCATATATGTGGTGCAAGGTGCGTGGTGCAATCTCTGTTGTGCAGTCCTCGCTGCGCAACCTAACTTGTGCAATCTATGTCGTGCAGGACTTGTGGTGCGATTTATGCTTGTGAAATTCGAATGTTGTGCAACCGAGTTTGTGCAATTTACGTGGTGCAGGATCTGTGGTGCTATCTACGTGTTGTAAATAATGTGATGCAATATATATATATATATATGTGTGTGTGTGTGCTGCAACAATATATGGTGTGTGGTTGGTTTTAACAAACGAGTTGACACATCCCGCGCTCTTGCAAACATCCCACCCACCCACCCGAAACTTGGTTTGCAAAATCTCTTAAGACAGTGACGGTGGGTACCAAATGGCACTTGGCAACGACAGCGACGCCGACGACGACAGCGACAACGACGACGACGACGACGCCGCCGACAACGACTACGACAACACCGACGACGTCTCCAACGACTTCGACGACGCCGACAACGACGACGACGACGACACCGACGACGACGACGCCGACGACGACGACGACAACGACGACGACAAAGACGACGCCGACGACGACGACGATGACACCGACGACGACGACGACGACGTCAACGACGCCGACGACGCCGACGACGACGACGACGGCGGCGACGACGACGACGCCGACGTCGACGACAACGAAGACGACGACGCCGACGCCGACGACGACGACGAAGACGACGACGTCGCCAACAAGGACGACGACGAGGAAGGATGGAGGACGACGACGACGACAACGACAACAACGACGACAACGACGAGGAAGGAGGGAGGACGGCGACGACGCGAACGACGAAGAAGGAGGAGGGACGGCGACGCCGACGACGACAACGACGAGGGAGGAGGGAAGACGACGACGACAAAGACGACGACGACGACGACGGCGACGAAATAGGAGGGACTACGACGAGACGCCGACGACGGACGACGACGACGACGAGGGAGGAGGAGGAAGGACGACCACGGCGACAACGACGACGGAAACGACCACAGCGCCAAAGCGAACGACGACGACGACGAACACGAGGACAAACAGAGGACGACATAGACGACGACGACGACGACGACGCGGGAGGAGGGAGGACGGCGACGACGACGACGACGACGCAAGAGCGCGCGCGCACGCTTTTGTTGAAAATCCGTGTCGCGAAACCTGGTGTTCTTGTAGGTTTTTTGGACACACGATTTTGAAACCCTTCCGAAACCGGCAGGTTTTGAAGGATTTCGGCATACGCGCGCGACGACGCGCGCGTCTGCACTTCGTCCCATTTTTTGCACAGGATTCTCGCGACGGCACACGCGCAAGGGCGCTCGACAGATTTCGACATGCGCGCGCGAAACCCGTTTGGTAGCATTTTGCGAAAATCTTGAAAACCGATGGTTTCCCTAAGATTTCGCAAAAGCTCGCGCGTAAGCTATTTTAGCAAATCAGAGTTGCGAAACCCTGTGTTTTTGTATGTGTTTTGGAAACTCGATTGCGAAATCATTCCGGCACCGAAAATTTTTGAAGGATTTCGGTATGCGCGCGCGACGACGCGCGCGTGCGCACTTCGTCCCATTTGTTGCAAGGGATTCGCGAAAAAAGTGCTATGTTAGAACAAAAGATGTCCCCGCGTATCGTTTTTTTTTACAAGGGAACCTCAGGGGGGGCCGATACCGGTTCCCCCGGGACATTGTAAATTCGCATTTAGGATGGACATGTGGTCAGAATCATATGTGATTTACCTACCGGAAAGGGGGGCGGATAACGCCGGGCGGTGGGGGGGTTAGAGTCTATATGTTTGTTTTTCTTTTTTTTATTATTTAAAAAACAAAAAAAAGAATCTATGTGGTAACATAGATGTTGTCCAATCTCGAGTGTTCAATTTATTTGGTGGGACAGCCGTGGTGTGTGGTGCAATTCGCGATACCAAACTTGACCTTGTCAACTCCAATGCTCGCGCAATCATGCAACCCACCAGCCCGCACTTTGGCTTGCAAAACCCATGCGGCGGCTATCGCGATGAGTGCCTGGCTCTGGCTGGCACGTCGCTGCGGCCGCGCTAGCGCGTGAAGGCTCGCGCGAAGAGCGACCAGCCAGTCTGGGGCGACCGACGCGGCCGCGGTGGCGCTGACCGCTGGGGAGTTCCCAGCGCGTCTCGCAAGCCGCTCTGGCGTGCGGGCACTTCAATGCGAGCCAGTGGATCGGAGGGGCACGGCGCCATGGCGACGCCGAAAACGGAAGACGCGTTGATGATAATACCGACGCTGGTGGCGATGATGGCACAGACGACGGCAAGGCCAATGACGGCGCTGAAGATGATCACGCCGATGACGGTAATGATGCCCACGTGTGGTGATGAAGGTTTTGGAAAGATTTCGACATGCGCGCGCGGCCGACGCGCGCGAGTGGCCCGCATGGTTTTATTTGACAGGGGCCGTGCCAGACCCAGTTCGCGCGCAAACGCGTTCGAATGATTCCGACACTCGCGCGCGAGAGGCCAATGTGGTCGGTCTCTTTCGCAAGCAATGTTGCAAACACACATACGACTTACTCAAAGTTTCGCAAGACCGTGCGTGCAGAAATTTTGGGACACCACGTTGCAGAAACCATTGGTTTGACATGTTTGGGGGCGCTGGATTTCAACATTCCTTACTACATGTAACATCCTGAAAGACTACGGCATGCGCGCGCGACGACGCGCGCGTGCGCACTGCGTCCCGCTGACTGCAAGGGATTCTGGCACACGAATGGTATTTGTTAAGCGAGTGCGAGCGCCGAGTTCTTTTTGGCGAGAATGCAGAGTGATGTCGATACCGGCTTGGCTGGGATGGTATGAATTCGTATTTCGAATCAACGGTGGGGCAGAGCCGTTTGTAAACTGCGCATTCCCCTGGTGGACGGATCAATCCAGTTTCGGGAGGGCGGTGGGTTCTAACTCTTTCAGGGGAAACATAATCTACCCTGGTTCAATGGTTCAACTGACTACCCTGCACCACGCTTGACCACCTCCACTGCTCGCGCAGTCATCCCGCCCACCTGCCCGCAACTTGGATTGCAAAACCCATGCGGTGGCGATTGCGATGAGTGCTTGACGTTGGCTGGTCGATTTCTGCGGCCGCGCCGACCCAAGCACGCGCGTGCCGCGGCCAACGAATCTGGCGCGACCGACGCGGCCGCGTTGGCGCTGACCACTGGGCACATCCCAGCGGGCACTTCACTGCGAGTCGGCGACTCGGGCGGTCGCGGTATCATTGCAACGTCGACAACGGTAGGCGCGATGATGATAGTAGCGGTGCTGGTGACGATGTTGACAAATACGACGGCGCGGCCAGTGCGGGCGCCGATGCTGATCACGCCGACGACGATGACGGCGTCCTCGCGTCGGTGATGGAAAAATTTGGAATGGATTCGACATGCGCGCGCGGCCGACGCACGAGAGTGGCCAGCGCGGTATTCTTTGACACGGATCGTGCCCCCCACCCACCCCCCCCAGCGCGCGCGCAAGGGCGTGCGAATGATGTCCGCATGCGGCGCCAGAGGCCCGTTTGGCAGAATTCCATGAACATGGTGAGAAACCGATGGTTTTCTTCGGGGCTCGCAAGAGCGCGAGCGCATGCTTTTTTGAATCCTGATGTTGCGAAGCCATATGTTTTTATATGTGTTTTGGACACTCGGTGTTGCAATTGTTTTTTTTGCGGGGTTCCGGCATGCGCGCTCGACGACGCTCGCGTGCACTTCGTCTCATCTGTTGCAAAGTATTCTCGCGACGGCACCCGCGCAAGGGCGTTCGAACGATTTCGGCATGCGCGCGCGAAGCCCGTCTGGTAGCAAATTATGGGAATTTTGGAAAAACGGATGGCTTTCTTAAGAACTCGCACAAGCGCGCGTAAGTTTTTTTAGGGTATCCGTGTTGCGAAACTATGTGTTTTATCTGCTGTTTGGACACTCGGCTTTGAAATTTTTACGGAACCGAAGGTTTTCGAGGGATTCCGACATGCGCGCGCGACGACGCGCGCGTGTACACTTCGTTCCATTTTTGTTGCAAGGGGTTCTTGACGACTTTTGATTTTGTGATCAACGAGTGCGCGCGTAGTATGTTTAGCAGAGGATGGCGGGGGGGCGCGATACCAGTCGGGCTGGGATGGTATGAGTGCAAAATTCGGATGGACGATGGGGCAGAATCATATGTAAATTGCGATACGAAAAGGGGGGTCCATAATCCCAGGGGGGGAAGAGTCTATTCTCTTCTAAGAAAACGACAATTTACGTTGTGCAATTCACGATTCTGAACTTACAGTTGTCAACTCCACTGCTCGCGCAATCATCCCACCCATCCGCCCACAACTTGGCTTGCAAAACCCATGCGGCGGCGATTGTGATGACTGATTGGCGCTGGCTCGCACTTCGCTGCGACCGCGCCAGCGCGTGCAGGCTCGCGCGCAGAGCGGCCAGTTAGTCTGGCGCGGCCAACGCGGCCAGGGTGGCGCTGACCCCTGGTGACTTCCCAACGCGTCTCGCAGGCCGCGCTGACGCGCCGGCACGTCAATGCGAGTCGGTGACTCGGGCGGGCCCCGTATCCTCACGACGTCGACGACTGCAGACGCGGTGATGATGATAGCGATGCTGGGGGAGAGGATGACGATGACGACGACGAGGCCAACGACGGCACCGATAATGATCCCGCCGATGACGGTGATAGTGCCCACGTGTCGGTGATGAAGGCGTTGGAAGGACTTTGACATGTGCGCGCGGCCGACGGTGCCCTTCTGTGCGGGTTCTGCGGCAACTTATGAGAGCCACCCATGTCATCTTGCTGCCTCTTGCGAACCGACGCTGGCTGAGGCGAATCGACGCTGGCCGAAGAGAATCGGTGCTACATCGACGCTACATGGGCGCTAGTCGGCGCTAAATCAGCGATGTTTATGTCGATCTAGTAGTGGAATTCGGAGGACACGCAAGGTTCCCATAACATGCCATCGAACGCGGGGGGCGGGGGGGGGGGTGCGGGCCGCAAGGCCCGCTGACTGACGCTTCGAGCGCTCGCTCCTGCGGCTTGCCAGGGAAAAGGGCGTCGCGGGAGGAGGAGGATGAGGATGAGGATGAGGATGAGGATGAGGATGAGGAGGAGGAGGAGGGAGGAGGAGGAGGAGGAGGAGGAGGAGGGAGGAGGAGGAAGAGGAGAGAGAGAAAGGGTGCCGGCAGCTGCACATGGCCCCCCCGTGGCCGCCGCTGCCCGCGCCCATCCGTGCAGGCGAGCAGGGCCAGGGGCAGCCCACACAGGATGCCCACGGCGAGGAAGCCGGCGAGGATCGTCCCCTAGCGGCTCTCGGGCAGGATCAGCTCTCTTCGTCCTCCTCGCCCCCTCCTCCTCCTCCTCCTCCTCCTCCTCCTCCTCCTTCTCCGTCGCTCCTCCTTCTCCTTCTTTCCTCTTCCTCCCCTCTCCTCTCTCTCCTCCTCCTCCTCCTTCTTCTCCTTCCCTCCTCCTTCTCATTCTCTGCTCTTCCTCCCCTCTCCTCCTCCTCTTCCTCCTCCTCCTCCTCCTCTTCTTCTTCTTCTTCTTTTTCCTCCTCCTCCTCCTCCTCCTCCTCCTCCTCCTCCCCTCCCTCCTGAAGGGCAACACTCTGGATCTCTCCGAATATTTTGGGAAACGGTCGTTACCATGGGGGGGCCCTAGGTAACGGTAACACGTGGGTGGTGTGGAGCACGTCGGGTCGGGGGCGCGTTGGGATCGCAACAGTGTGAGCGCGAGCACCAGCATGTGGGAAGGGAATCCAGCCCCCCCCCCCCTTACCTACCTGCGATCGTTACCGTATCCCTGAGGCGGAAATGGGGGCTGGGCCCCGATAGCAACCGGTACGCGCTAGAGGCTAACCAAAAACAATTTCACTCGCGGCTCTCGGGCAATATCAGCTGGCACCGAATCAGGAAATCGGATTGAAGTGGAGTAGAAGTCGAATCGCGCCGCATCTTCACGGAGCCGGAATCGAATCGGATCGGCCGCGCCAGGACTCACAACAGCGCCATGCAAGCGTCGGGCTGAATCGGATAGAAGGAATAATTCGCTGGCCCAACGGGCCAGGGCGTGCTAAGATCTCCGGTACCTGGTTAACAGTATTTCTAGTTCGCGCGCGCGGGGCGGCCCCTGGGGGTCCCCGGACGAAAAGTACCCCGGCAAGGTCCCGGCAAGTCCCCGGCAAGGTCGGGTCAGAGATGCCGGAGTTCTGTTTCGGAGTCCAAGAGGGCTCCAGATCGGTCCAAGAGGGCCCCGAGAAGCTTTCTAGACGGTCCAAGAGAGGCCCGAGACGGCCAAAGATCGCCCGAAGACGCCCCAGATGGCCCCAAGACAGCCCAAGAGGCCTCCAAGACGCTCCAAGGGCCTTCCAAGAGGCCTCCGAAGAGGGCCCCAAGTTGCCAAAATCGTTGATTTTCATTGGTTTTTTCGATGTTTTTTTGCGTTCTGGCCTTTTCGCTTCCGGACGCTCCAAGAGGGCCCAAGAGGCCTTCAAGACTGCTCCAAGACGGCCCACGAGGCTCCCAAGACGGCCCCGGAGCGGCCCAAGAGCGCCCCCCAGACGGCCCAAGTGCTGCCCAAGGCGGACCAAGAGGCCCCAAGACGGGCCCAAGAGGGGCTCAAGAAGGGAACCGAGAACTGAAAAATCGAGCCCTCCGCCCCAGAAGGCGCCCAGGACCCCGAAAGAGGCCCCAAGAGACTCTCCAAGACACCCCCAAGACGCCCCAATAAGCTCCCGTGAGGCCCCAAGAGGACCAACAACGTCAGGCCCCAGGCCCCAAGAGGACCAACAAATACCGCCAAGAGCCCGCCGAAAGCCCCCCAAGAGACCGTCACGAGAGCTCAGGAGGCCCCCTGGAGGCCTCCCGAGTTCTCCAAGAGGCCTAAAAAGAGGCGCCAAGAGGCCCCAAACGGCCCCACCGAGGCTCCAAGAGGCCACGAACGCGCAAGCAAACGCCTGCGATGGCACAATACGGGCCGGCGGAATGAGCGAAGCGATTAATTTGAATCGCATCAGATCGGGCCGGCCAGAGTCGGTATGGAATCGGACGTCGGACGGCCTCCAAAGTCGCGTTTTTTTTGCGATTCGCGATCACGGCCGTCACTGGGAATGCTCCAGCGTTCCCCCCCCCCTGGTATGACCCGAAATTGGGAGGGGGGGGTTAGATACAGGGCGGGGGGGGTTAGCGAATCAGTTCACCCAGATGTGCGACGATGAGCTTGTTCTTACCGGCGTTCTTTCGTCCATTTCGGCCCTCGGAGGTCGTTATGGGGTCCAGGGGCGAATCTAAGGCGAAAAGCTTCCCCCCAGGGAAGGGGTCGGGACTTCTGGGGACCCGCGCACTGAACAAATCACATCAGCGGATGTCTGGGATGGGAAAGTCAGCCGTCGTCGCTTTCGTTGTCGTCGTCGTCGCCGCCGCCGCCGCCGTCGCCGTCGTCGTGGTCACCGTCGTCGTCGTCGTCGTCGTCCTCGTCGCCGTCGCCACCGTCGTCGTCGTCAGGCGTCGTCAGGCGTCGTCAGCCGCCCTCAACCGTCGTCGTCGTCGTCAGCCTTCCTTAGCCGTCGTCGTCGTCGTCGTCGTCGTCGTCGTTGTCAGGCGTCGTCGTCGTCGGCGGCAGACGTTGTTAGCGGTCGTTAGCCGTCGTCAGCCGTCGTCAGCCGTCGCCAGCCGTCGTCGTCGTCGTCGTCGTCGTCGTCGTCATCGTCGTCGTCGTCGTCGTCGTCTGTCGTCGTCAGCCGTCGCTGAGCCGTCGTCAGCCGTCACTGTTCGTCGTTAGCCGTCTTTAGCCGTCGATGTCGTCGTCGTCGTTGTCGTCGTCGTCGTCAGGCGTCGTCGTCAGACGTTGTCGTCGTCGTCATCGCCGTTGCGAATCGGATCATACAGCTGGTTTTCCCAGCGCCTCCTGGCGCTGGAGCTTCGAAGAGCGACAGCCTGGCCCCGGCGCAGCGTCAAATGGCGGCGGTCTCGGGGGCCACGGCGCCTTCAAGCGGCAGCATGTCTGCGTCGCCGACCTCTCTGCCAGAGGCCTGCCAGATGGGGGCCGAGTAGATAGTAGATAGGGTCGGAGGGTCGCGCCGCACTGTCGATGCATGACCGATGTATCGGCGGCTCAGCGACGACGTCGGCGTGGAGAAAATCGGGCTCCACATCGAGCCGCATCACCGATGCATCGCCGATGCGGCGCTACGTTCCGAACCCATCTACTCGGATCCCATTTGGGAGGCCTAGACCTCTGCGCCTTGCCACGGGACGCCCTGGGCCTCTACCACCTTCTCGCGCTGCGACCAAAAATAACGGCGGGAGGGTTCTTCCTATCCTCGGCCTTCAAGGTCCCCCCGCCGCGCCGGCAGTCAGAAAACGAACCGGGGCGAAAACCCGGTCCCGGGGAAGGGGCCCAGAGCTCCGAGGGCCCAGGTCGGGACAGATCACGACATCGTTTTTCCGGGTAGGGAAAGAGGGGTTAGCGAATCAGCTCACGCAGCTGGTTTTCCCAGCGCATGTATGTATGTATGTATATATATATATACTGGTAGCGAAAGAGAGAGAGAGAGAGAGAGAGAGAGAGACAGAGAGAGAGAGAGACAACTAGATAGAGAGAAACACAAAGAGAAGGATGGGGAGAGAGAGAAAGAGAGAGAGATCCATGCACAGACTTTCTACCAGGCCAGGAGAACTTATCGTAATGAACGCCATTCGCCCTGCAAGCGCAGGAATTCGGGGAAACACATCGGCCTCCAAGGCATGTGGATCCCACATGTCTCTCTCTTTCTCTCCCTCTCTCTCTCTCTCGTTCTTTACTTCTCTCACTGTATCTATATGTATATATATAGGTACATAGAAGATCTATGTGTAAATTAGCAAGGGTGGACCCCAAGCAGTGTGTTTCTAGCCATGTATGCTGTGCGATCTACGTGGGGCAATATAAGTTGTGCAATACATGTGGTGCGACTTATGCTGCGCAAGGAAAAATGCGGAATATATGTTATGTAACCTATGTTTGCGATTGCTGCGGTGCACTCCTTGCTGTGCGATACATGTTGTGCCATAGATGTAACAATATATGGATGGTGCAATACATGTTGCGCGATGTACGTTTACAGTCAATCTAAGGGTCGCAATGTATGTGGTGCAGCCTATGCGGCGCAACATATGTGTTGCAATCGATGTTACTCGATATATGTGGTGCGATCTGTGCGGTACAAAGTGCATGATGAACTTGATGTGTTGCGATCGGTGTTGTGAAACCTCTGTCGTGCAATGCAAGTGGTGAAATATATGCGGTGCAATTAATTTCTGTTCGCAGTGAGTTGTCCACTCCACTGCTCGCGCAAACATCCCACACATCCACCCACAACAACTTGGTTTGCTGAATCTCTTAAGACCGTGACGGTGGGTACCAAATGGCACTTGGCAGCGACAGCGACGCCGACGACGACAGCGACAACGACGACGATGCCGCCGACAACGACTACGACGACACCGACGACGTCTCCAACGACTTCGACGACGCCGACAACGACGACGACGACGACGACACCGACGACGACGACGACGACGCCGACGCCGACGACGACGACGACGATGACAACGACGACGACGATGACGACGCCGACGCCGACGACGACACCGACGACGACGACGACGTCAACGACGCCGACCACGACGACGACGACGACGGCGGCGGCGACGACGACGACGCAGACGACGACGACGAAGACGACGACGCCGACGCCGACAACGACGACGAAGACGACGACGACGTCGCCAACGAAGACGACGACGAAAAGGGAGGACGACGACGGCGACAACCACGACAACGACGACAACGACGAGGGAGGAGGGAGGACGGCGACGACGCGAACGACGAAGAAGGAGGAAGGACGGCGACGACGAGGACGACAACGACGAGGGAGGAGGGGACGACGACGACGACAACGACGACGACGACGACGACGACGGCGACGAAATAGGAGGGACGACGACGAGACGCCGACGACGGACGACGACGACGAGGGAGGAGGAGGAAGGACGACCACGGCGACAACGACGACGGAAACGACCACGACGCCAAAGAGGGCGACGACGACGACGAACACGAGGAAAGACAGAGGACGACGTAGGTGACGACGACGACGACAACGACGCGGGAGGAGGGAGGACGCGACGACGACGACGACGACGCCGCAAGAGCGCGCGCGCACGCTTTTGTTGAAAATCCGTGTTGCGAAACCTTGTGTTTTTGTAGGAGTTTTGGACACACGATTTTGAAATCCTTCCGAAACCGATGGGTTTTGAAGGAT